GCAGGCGCTGGGGGAGTCCCTGTTCCCCCGAGCGCCGCAAGGAGTGACCAGGAACAACGGTCACAAGCTGGCGGAGGGAAGGTTTAAGTTGGACATCAGGAGGCGCTACTTCACGGTCAGGGCGGCTAGGGTCTGGAACCAGCTTCCAAGTGAGGTGGTGCAGGCTCCCACCCTGGGGGTTTTTTAAGAGGAGGTTGGATGACCACCTTACTGGGGTCGTTTGACCCCAGTACTCTTTCCTGCCATGGTAGGGGGTCGGACTAGATGATCTGCTCAGGTCCCTTCCGACCCTAGAAACTATGAACTATGAAACTATGAAACTTTCAAAACTTCTTCATAGAATGGCAGAACCTTTAGAAAGAGCAGTAACAAGGGAAAAATATATCAGACTAGCATAAAGATTACCAGAAAGACCAGCTATGACAGCCTTTAGAGCCAGCACAGGTGCTGTGATGCACACCAGACTTTATTCCACCAGTTTCTATAAAAGGTGAGAGGATGCCAGATGCTTCTTTGAGCTTTTAGTATTTCTATACACAACTAGCACTAGCATCACTCAATCACTGCACCCAAAGGCAAGGCAAGGCAAAGTAAGGAAACCACTAAAAACTGACACCAAACTGGAGCCTAAAAGTATGCTGGTCTTCAGTTTAGCATTACCAACTCATTCATACTTAGAAGTGCTTGATAGTTGGTCAAAATGCCTGATTTTATTGATGGGATGAATTTTGAACTTGAGAAAACTCAACTTGACTCCATACATAATAATGGCTCATAACAACTCTTAGGTAATCCTGGCTTCAGGTCCATATGGATGACATGTAGCTCTCAGCATATATTTGCCTATTTCTTTCCATTCAGGACACGGGCAATATATAAAAGGTTCCTAGTACAGACTTCACATTTCCAGCACAGAGTCCTATCATTTAGATGATCAATAGCCAAGAGATTTCATCAAATGTCTTGCAGTGTATATGGGGAGATCAGGAACACCACAGGTTCACCCACATCACAGTCGCTGACCTCCTAAGCTGGGGACACATCTTAAGAGTCAATATACAAAGCCAATTTCAGAAAACGGCACGGACGTGTTTACAGATTTTAGGTCATATCATATCATGCACATTTGTAACTCTATATGACAGACATCACCTCTGTTGTATGTAAAAGGTGTCTGGAAGCATCACATCAATATACTAGTCCTTATTCCTCCAGAAGGCCTAAAGCCACTGGATTGATGGAAGAATCCCAATTTGTCTGCAGTGGTGTACTGTTTTCTGTGCTGTTATTTTCAAAGGAATGGTAACAGATGCTTCCCAACCCTGGCTGGGGAGCATATGTTGCTGATACCAATTTTGGGTTTTGTGATCCTGAGAGACTATAAGAGCTGCATATAATGCTTTGAAAGGTAGTTTTCCAGGACAAAAAATGAAGGGCACATGCAACTCTCCTAAAACAGAAAACATCAGCTTGGAATTGGTCCACCTATTGCTAAATAACCCCAGTAGCTTGCACCTACAAGTATTACAGAGCACCAGAAGATCTTATGAGGAGACATTTTCAAGTGACCACAACTGATCAATAAAGGACTCAATCAGAATCATTCACAGGAAGGCTCATTCACACAATTTTTTTTTGTCAAAAACAGGAAGACAAGCAAACAAACAAACAAAACAAACAATTGTCTCCTGTTCTGCTTCAGATTACACTCAGATGCTTCTCATGCTGAGACTCCAGGTCTGGTGTGTGGATATCCATCAACCTCCCCCTCTACAGTGGATT